TATGTGTTGATGTTGAATGTTTGTGATAAACTGAAGGATGAAGTGTTTCCTTTATGTGTTGATGTTGAATGTTTGTGATAAACTGAAAGATGAAGTGTTTCTTTATGTGTTGATGTTGAATGTTTGTGATAAACTGAAGGATGAAGTGTTCCTTTATGTTCATGTTGAATGTTTGTGATAAACTGAAGGATGAAGTGTTCCTTTATGTTCATGTTGAATGTTTGTGATAAACTGAAGGATGAAGTGTTTATATGTTGATGTTGAATGTTTGTGATGAACTGAAGGATGAAGTGTCTCTTCTTTGTGTCCCCAGTCGTTCGTAGAAGTGTACAACCTGACGTCGGACCCCCACCAGCTGGAGAACATCGTGAAGAAGGTGGATCCGGCCGTCCTGCAGGCGATGAATCAGCGGCTCATAAAGCTCCAGTCCTGTCAGGGCGCCAGCTGCCGTGACAATAAGTAACAACTAGGTGACGCCCTTCACGGAGCTGCCAAACATCCTTCATCCTGCTTCATACGCTCAGTGGAAGATGGCGCTGGTTTATATTACTGTTTGGTCAAAGGCAACTTTGTTGGATATGTCTTTTTCATAACCATCTTTCCCAAAAGTTTAAATTAAATGATGGATGATGGCTGGGTTCCACTTAGCTGCTTCAGTTTCAGGGTCCTCGTGTTGTGCATGCTGGGTCACTTTCATGGTTTACGGGGACACTTGAGTAAGAACAGAGCCATCGGTAGAGGACACGTTTAACATTTTGGGAAATGCACCTGCTGGACGAGAACATAGATACCGTCTGTACGATAACTATGGCGCTGCAGCTGGTTTGCTTAGCTTAGCATAAAGACTGGAAACGGGGGAGGGGAAGCAGCTAGCATCTCTCTGTGTTGCGCCACAGTAACAAAATAAAAGTGTAAAAACGCATCAATGTTGTACAAGGAGCTATGTACCGGAATATTTCATGGTTGATGGGGGAAGAAATAGTCCTCGTAGTAATATAAATAGTATTTGTACTATCAAAGGGCAGATAATTTATTTCCCAAAATGTGAAACTTTTCCTTGTATGTTATTAGTAACGCCTGTTTTTCTTTTAATGACGAGTCAAAATGTCTGCAGTGAAAATGAGCTGTGCTCAAAAATCTCTAAATTAAAAGTTTATTATGTTTAAGATAAACTCTTCAGCCAGTTCATATATTATGCAGATCTACCGCTCATCCATGTTGAAATGTCTTCCTGATATAAACTTCTGTTCTTTATAATAGTCATGGTTCAAAATGCCATCTGAACATTTTAGTTCTTAAACGATACACAACCAAAGATTATAATAGTTTGAGATTTTGGGAAAGTTGCTTCTTAACTTTCTTGCAGAGAGTTATACTTTTAATTCTGCAGAACTTGAAGTTGAGACATTAAGTCTTTTTTTTAAAGGACACATCTGTTTCCAGTTATTGCTCCAATTTTGTGCCTCAGATTTAAAGAATGGACAAAACATTTTTTAATTCTCATGTTTTATATTTTGCAGAGTATTAATGATGACATTTATAAAGTGCCTTTTTTTAAAGTGGAAGATGGGAACATTGCTGTCATACTTTGGAGGCGTGTTGACGACTTTGTAATTGTGATGAATATTCGTCACCTGGTAACATTTGATCCTGTATGCCTTGTTTGCACTGACGACGCTCACTTGCCTTAAATGTGAATGTATTTGTACTGTGATGAAATTTAAATAAATCAAAAGAAGCATTTAAATGCACTTGTGTGGATATTTTATTAAGAGGTGTTTCACAGAAAAAAGCAGAGTACAAAGTACTATTTAGTATTTGTCAAAAGTATATAAACATTAAATAAATAAGTTATAAAACACTATAATGTAGTCAAATCATGAGGACATTTTAAGTGTTAATTCATTTACAGTATTCAAGAATTATAACTTGTCCTATGGAAAATATTTATAATATGTAAATATTACAACTGTTTTACAATATTGTAATTTATTATCTGTTCACACTTCATAACACTGACACTTGTATCTGCTTACTGAGTGTGATAAACATTTATTAAATGTTTATATACTGCTTATAAATGCATTAAATGCTTTAAGTGGTCTCGTTCTGTATGAGTGATATGAATTTTCTTTGCATCTTTACTGGAGAAAATTAATCTATATAGCAAGTATGTTATAGGACCCAGCCAGGTGTAGTATTTCATAAGAAAATAAAAATACAGCTGCAAGTCATGAGTCCGATGTTCAAGCAAACACGACCTTTTGACACCTGCATTTAGAATAACTAACAGGTTTTATGACGCTCATTCATTTATGGTCAAATCTGTGCAGGGTGATGCCTTTCTTTTGGCTACGCCGTCGCCCCCTATTGGTCAATTTCAAAACCTTTTTGGGGCCACGTTTCAACAGCGGAATTAACAAAATATCCACAGAGTTTGGAATTATGGCCATATGCAAATACAGTAAATCTGGTTTAACTGGTAATTATGCTTTATGAAATATCTGTTTTTAACAAAAAACTTTCTGACTTAATTTTTAAGGATTCTTTAATGAATCAAACAAACTTTCACTTTCCTCCCGACTTACAAACCATGACTCAGCCGGCTGACTCAGCGATTTCTTTAAATATAAGCTTGAAACAAACTTTCATTTCACCGTCTTCCAGCATTTTATCTGATTCTAGCTTTTATTCTGTTTACGGGTTCTGACATTTGGTTCATTTAGTACTTTTACTGCTGTGGCTTTTATGTGTTTATGTTGTATTTGTTCATGTGAAGCACTTTATAACTTTGTTTTGTTAAGTACTAAATAATAAAGGTTTTATTATATTATGATGATAAAAGGATGACACCTTGACATTCCCAAATGTAAATAAGAGAAACATAGTGGTCTGGAGCTGCAGTATATACGTGCATACGGTGTATTAAACCTTGTAGTTTCTACATTTGTTAAAGACTTCCAGGCATCATGTTTAATTAACACTTTTCTTTAATTCTGAGAGTTTTATTCACAAAAGCAACGAGGCTGAAAATCAAATGACAGGAACAAAGTGAGTTTTATACAAGAGCAAAATCCATCCGGCGGTACACAGAAACATACCATGTTACTAGTACACGGTTCCCTCAGAGGTACTTGTACACAGCTTTATCCTGCAGGGTCTGAACCTCTAACTTGACGGGACATTTGTAGAAGTGCGACAGCAATGACTCCGAATAGCCTATTAAGAAGTAAAACTTCTGCGGCGGTAACTTCTGCAGCATTAAAGCACACACTACGAGCACGTTGCCGCGCCTTTTGATCACGATCTCATTGGCCAGGCAGCCGTGGAAGGTCCCGAACATGAAGCGCCTCACGAACACGTCCTCTATGGTCCGCTCAGCGGCGCCCTCCTGTCCTCTCAGGTTACCTGGAAGTAACAGGAAGGACAGGTGTCCTGGTTGAGTAAAGTATACAGCCCCCTTCTGTTAACATTATCATCAATGGTGAAAAGATCGATATGGTTACTGAGTTTAAGTATCTTGGATTCATTCTGGATCCAAATCTTGATTTTAAACCAATAAGTCAGGATATTTTTGCATGCTATGATCCTTCCCCAACGTGTCCTCTCGTGTTTCATGTTGGGGTCACATTACATCATTAAAACACTCGACTTCAAGCTGTCAAACTCCTCGTTAACGAGCGTGCTCACTGGTGTGCTGGGACAGCCATCCTTTGCGGTGGCCGATCTGATGAGGTGGAAGAGCTCGCTCGTACGTCAACGGTTTGTCTCCTTTCCCCACTCGGGCACGAGCTGCTCGATTCTGGGAAAGAGAAGAAGAGAAAGAAAAGAAAGAAAGAGGAATAAATGTCAGTAAGAACCATCTTTGTTTGGTAAAGCAAACTGGCCATAAGCCTTGATCTAAAAGCAAGAGTGCTCAACTATGCAAATCCCAAATATGCAATGAATGAAAAGACTAACTTTGTGAGATACCTTCTTAAATTACATAAACTCATACAGGCAAGTGAGTACTGTTTTAAGACAGGCTCATGATAATGTGCACCTGTCCTTTAAGTAGCTCATATAACAACAGTTTGATGGCTAAGTATGATAATGAGGAGTGTTTACCTTGCAGCACACTGTGGTGACATGGAGGGCTCTGCTTCCGGAGGAGCTGCTTAGAGAGCCGGACCTGAATAAAGTACTCTGCAGAGGAAACACCATGAGAGTAAAATACCATCACATCACTACGAGTTGAGCTTGTAAAATGATCTTCAGTTGCAGCTCCCAGTTTCACCTAACTGGTTATCTACTCCGTTTTAACACACTATATGAATATATAATATATAAATAAACACGCTCTCAATCTAACCAGCCGAAAGAACCAGAGCACACAGAGATGTTAAGCTGTCAAAATAAGTTAATTTAAGTATTTTAAACGTTGAAATATCATTTTTACTGACCAGCAGCTTCACGCTCGCTGTGCTGCTCAAGGACGCCGCCATGTTTTTTTGAGTATTAAAATGTTAAGCGCGTAGATAGCTGACACTATTTCCACAGATTGTTTGTATTATATATAATATAACATTTAATTAAAACTAACGAAATTAAATGATTATAAATCGTATTTAAATGGCAAATGTGTTGTTTCTCCGGTAAGCTATGCATGAACACTGGAACTGTTTATCCAACAGTAGGTCATCTGTTTCTACCGAATGACTGTGGAGCTGTACCAACCGGATGGAGAAAAAGTAAATGGTTTAGAGAACAGAGAGCTTTCGAAACATTTATTGTGATAGTTATTTGTGATGTTAAAGTATACATAGTATAATATTGTATCTTAATACAAACGCTTATTTTGTTTTTTTTGTGTTAGTTAATTGTTTCGATTTATTTTGTAGAAAGTGTGTTCTTATTTTGAAAAGCCTGGACCGGAAGTGTTATTGTTCTGGAAGCAGCAGCAGAGGTGTCAAGAAACGTTACCCAGCGAGTCCCACTTGAATATAAACTTATATTTATTGAAGAAGGCTGTCTACATCGTCGGTTGGGACACTTTGACGGTTGGTGAACGCGGTTAAACGTTAAAAAATACAAAAATAAAAGCCGCCATGGCGTCGCCGCTGCAGATGACAGAAATGTACGACAACGCTCTGCTCGGCATCCTGCAGCACGTTGGAAACATTCAGGACTTTCTTCAGGTTTATTTTGGGTTTTTGTACCGAAAGACGGACTTTTATCGCCTGCTGTCGGGTCCAAACGAGAAGATGGGGTTTCCTCCCGGTGTGGCGGAGAAGATGGTGTCCAAGGTGAAGTTTGTCAACGTTTATTTTCAGTTATTTTCAGTTCCATTGCATCATGGGAAACGGCGACTTCACAAGTTATTTGACCCTTAAAATGACAGTTTATGCACCTGCATTGATTATTTATTAATTATTTATTGATTATTTGCCACCAAACATTCAAAACTGTTTTATTAGGTTATAATAAAACAATAAAAATAATAAAATAAAATAATAATAATATTTATTTTATAAATAGTAAAATATAAATAAAAAATAAAGTATTAGGTTATAATAAAACCTTTTACTAGGTCATATCTCTCAAACTGATCTTCTCTGAGAGGATTTAGTGGTTTGGTTATTGTTTATATACAGTGTTTCTTTTATTTTGTCCACCCCATTTATACTAATGATGGTAGGATAAATACAGTTCAACAACATCTGCATTTTACATTTAAATATATTTTATATAGTCTTTATGAAAGTGTATTTACATCACGACCACAGTACAAATACAGACTTGAAACATCTTCCTAAATGGTCATACAGTTAAATCAACAAAACATTATAATCTTCATAAAGAAATTATTTATTACGCGACTGTTAAGTGTGTAACTTAGTTGCATGTGTTAATTTAGTGTATTTGCATATTTTATTAAATTGTTTTACTTTCCTTGTTATCTATCTTGTTTAATCTTATTCCTTTGTTATAACGTGAACGAAGGATCAACGAGCACCAATCAGTGGATTAATAATAAACTTACAGCAGAAATATTAAAGGTATTCCTCACAGTAGGAGGCTCCACGATAAAAAGCATTGCTCTATATATATATATATATATATATATATATATATATATGCCATTTATTACCTTTTCTTCAACTACAAATTCAGCAGTTTTCTACTCGCTTCATCTCGCCGAAAACATTCGTATCGCAGCAAAATGAGTTCAACAGACTGACCGACTCCGATCCGTCTGACTTTACACCAGAAAAAGAACCTCCACCGCCATTGAGTGCACTGTAAAAACTATTGTTACCAAAAGGTTTAATTTGTATTTGCAGTATTGAGAGTTAGCGGAATATTGCCGAGTTCATACCCTGATCTCTTTATTCCTCCTCAGACGTTCAGGCTGTTCGAGAAGCTGGCGGAGAACGACCGAGAGAGGCAGCAGAGCGAGCTGCAGAAGAGGGAGCAGAGCCGAAAGGTTCCTCCGGCGGTTCCAGAGCTGGAGATCGCCGCCGAGGAGACGATCGTCACAGAGGAGGAGCGCTGTCACCAAGATGCTCCTCCTCCTCCGACCTCCTCGGGAGCGACCGGCAGCGATCAGCCCGACAGAGACTGTTCAGACCCGACGGCTGATCAGAGAGACCAGGGAGACCAGGGAGCTGCAGCCGGATCAGTGTGAGGGAAAACCTTCATGCACACTCAGCAGTTTTAACGTCTTTCTCCATCTTTACCTGAATCCACCACGAACACTGTCTCTCTGTCTCTCTGTCTCTCTCTCTCTCTCTCTCTCTCTCTCTCTCTCTCCCTACATAGTTACGTCCCTTAAGATTTGGTAGTCACTGTGACATCTTGATTGTATATCAGATAATATTTTCTTATGTTTAATTAAAGGAACAGTTCCCGTAATCACGGTAGAGCTCAACGTTGAACATCGTGTTTTATTAAATGTCTCAGGACTCAGGAGAAGTTTCAGGCGGACCCCGACAGCTACAACGGAGCCGTGAGAGAAAACTACAGCTGGTCTCAGGACTACACCGACCTGGAGGTCCGAGTGTTCGTGCCCAAGGCCGTCGTCAAAGGCCGACAGGTAAACCCATGACGCACCGGGGGGGAGTCCTCTCTGTGGAGGTTCACTCACCTCGTGTCCCGCTGTTCTCAGGTCAGAGTCGCTCTGCACACCGGCAGCATGCAGGTGTGTGTGAGGGAAGGAGACGAGGAGAGGACGCTGATGGAGGGAGAGTTCACCCACAAGATCAACACGGAGAACTCTCTGTGGAGTCTGGAGCCAGGGAGCTGCGTGGTGGTGAGGACACATATAATATATATATATATATATATATACACACACACACACATACATACACACACACACACACACACCCAGCTCCATGTTGGTCCAGCTTTTTATGTTTCTTATTTGCCGTCTTTGGCCTCCAGCTGTCGCTCAGTAAGACCTCGGAGGTTTGGTGGAACGCGGTGCTGAAGGGAGAGAAGGAGATCGATATAAACCAAATAAACCGAGAGCGCTCGATGGCGTCGGTGGACGAGGAGGAGCACGCCGTCCTGGACAGACTCTCCTTCGACTACCACCAGAAGCTGCAGGGAAAACCTCAGAGTCACGAGACGGTGAGCACACGATCCTCTATGAACCAGTCCCAGTGTAGTCCTGATCCTCTATATGAACCAGTCTCAGTGTAGTCCTGATCCTCTACATGAACCAGTCTCAGTGTAGTCCTGATCCTCCATGTGACCGTTTTGTCCCTGGAGGTCTGTGGTTCTGACGTCCCCCTCTAGATGGCGCTGTGGGTGTTATTAGCTGTAACACGTGCATGTCTTGTGTCTCTCCACAGAAGGTGCACGACATGCTGAAGAAGGGCTGGGACGCTGAAGGCTCTCCGTTCAGAGGGCAGCAGTTCGACCCGTCCATGTTCGACATCCCGCCCAGCGCCGTGCAGTTCTGAGGCTCGGGACGGGAAACAGTGAACTGAATCCTCGTTCTGTTTGACGGAGCCGGTTGTTGTAAAATCGACATTTTACCTGCAGAACTGAAGCTGGGTTCACAGACGAGGACGCGTCATCATATCAAATGTTTATTTGATGTTTTGGCCGTTTGAAATCCGATAAATCCGTGTACTTTAACTGTTCTGCTCTTTATTTAAAACCTCTCCAGTGCCTATATGAGGGATTCTGTTGTTATTTTTCAGACCACTTCCCCCAAACCGTTACAGCATTTACTCACGTTTCCATCCAACTGTAGCGCGAATGTTTAAAACAAGTTTGCAGAAGAACATCCACGTGTCTTATGGGAGATTAGGAGTCGATTCATTGAGATTAACAGCTGGTCGGTAAGAAGATGCTGAAGCTGGAGAACAGTTTGTTGGCACCATCTCCACCCAGACCTGATGTTCTCAGCTCTACCGTCATGCTGTGTGTAGAAGCTTCGTCTGCGATGCATCCGGTTTGTTTTCCTCTCCTTGCTCCTGGTTGGATCAGACACTTCTAACCTGAAGACTTTGGCAAATATGAATCTGTTTCTTGTCCCGCTCATCTGTCTGGAGGTGTTTGCTGATTCATGCGATGTTACAACATGGAAAAGGAAAACTGGTTCAGTTCCTCACAACCAAACTACGAACTGTTGTTGAATAAAAAGATTGTTAAATATCAGAAAAGCTCCTTCTTGAACTTGAAAGTAACATTTCATCTACTTAATAAGGCCCATTTACTATTTTTTCCAGAGACTTTAAACGCATCTTGTGTTCCTCATCAGAAGATAGTTTTATTAATTAATATTATTGAATAACCACCTAAAATTATGAGTTAACTCTCACTAAACCCAATGATGACAGTTCATGAACTCCTTCTAAACAGCTGACCCCAACATCAGTCTTAGCTGGACAAGTCGTCCTGTCTTCACTGAGCTCAAACAGAAACACCACCTGGTTCCAGTGATCTTCTACATCCATCAATAAAACCTTCCTCATTAACCCCCCCACGTGGAAACAGTGAGTAGATAATGTGCTGATGGAAAAGTAAGAGAGGAGTCGGACACTCTGCAGTTTAACAAACATCTTGTTTCTCCTCAGCTGGAGACAAGATAATATAAAGATCAGATCTTTTTCCTCTTACGTGCATTTTGTTCATCAGTCTGTCTGAAATAAATGAAACTATTTATGTATTTACGTACCGGGGACATTGTACATTAATCTACATTTCAATGTCAATGTGTCTGTTAGCTTGAGAGCTAATCCTCTGTAGTCTCTGGGCCGGTTATTACAATTTAGTGGCCGAATATGATCAGTACAATTCAAACACTATACTACAACAATACTATACAATACATTACAAAAGTAGCTGATGTATACTTTCCATATTCTAAGACGTATCCACTACAGCTACTTAACAAATCATCGTCAAAACTTTTTTCTTCCATAAACATAATTTTCTGAAGTAGTTTCTCCATCTGTTTGATTTAAATCTCTCCTTCGTTTCTCTCGGTGAAACGAATCTGTAGAGAAATCCGTCACCTACGTGCCGTCATTTTTAATTACCTCCCTTCATCGCCGCTGACTTCCTGTCGCCTACGTCCCATCTACGTCACCTACTTGCTGTCATTTTTACCTACTTCCCTTCATCGTCGCCTACTTCCTGTTGTCGCCTACGACCCGTCATCATTGCCTACATCCCGTCTTTGTCACCTACGTCCTGTCCTCATCTCCCACGTCCTGCCCTCATCACCTAGATCCCGTCGCCGTCGCCTCCTCCCTTTCGTTATCTCCAACTTCCTGTTGTTGTCGCCTACGTTCGCCATAGTCACAAACTTCCTGTCGTCACCTACCTCTTATTATCGCCACCTAAGAAGGTAAATTAGCCTATTTCATAAAATGTCAAACTATTCCTTTAAATGCTGGTGTGACTGGGCCATAACATCTATTTAACATCGTGCTCACAGAGTCCAGATTTCAAAATACAGTTGTATAATCAGCTGTGTACTTGACTGGAGGAGCGCAGTGTTTTGGAGTTAGGGGGGCCCAACAGCACCTTTCTGCCCCGGGCCCCCTGACACGTCATTCCGGCCATGCTTGAAGTGAAATATGTTTCTTTCATTTCGGTTATTTGTCAAACAAACAACATGGAGATGCACTGCAGTCCCCTGCACTTCATGAATTGCATGAATCACATTTTCTTTTGAATCACTTCCTGATGAAATCCTATAAATAGATTCAGACAGGCAGCTCCAGTAAGTGAAGTAATTTCATTATCGGCTGCAGGCTTCTCCTCATTACCTGATTTATAATGATATGTAATCAAATGCCGAGCTCTTCAATCAGCCTTTGATTTATTGTTCTTCTTTCTCTCGAGGGGAACACGTCATGTGATGAGCTCACATTACCAGTCTGTGTGGTATTTAAAGAGTCCGTCCTCAGAGCGGAGAGCCCACTGCCCGACCGTCCGAGCCGGGTCCGTGTGTGTTGGCGTGTATTTGGTGGTGTGTGTGTGTGTGCGTGCGCGCCGGGCTGCAGCTGAACCACTCAGCCGTCCGGAGGTTTGAGGTGGGCGGAGACTTGAGAGCTCCGAAGTCCTCCCGTCCGCAGCGACGCACCCGTGCATTTCGGACTCGGCACCGCGCACCGTCCCGAGGAGGAGGTGGAGGCATCATGGCTACGACTACTTGCACGCGTTTTACGGATGAATACCAGCTGTACGAGGAGCTTGGCAAGTAAGCTGCTGTTACGTTATACGCTTTTCTGAGTCTCCTGCATGCTCAGCCTGACCCTGCGCGTCCTAACCGTGGTGGTGGTGAGGGGGGGTGTAGCATCTGCACATGATGGATGCGGTGATGGATCCAGCTTCAAAACAAAACGCCGGTTCCAGAGCTCTCCTGCATGATAATGTCTCTATGCATTGCTTTTATTTATGTTTTTTTACACCATTAAATGCATTAGATTTCTGCATGAAGATGTGGCTGCATGGACACTTCTGGGAACCCCCCCCAACCCAACCCAACCCAACCCAACCCCTACCCTTTCTGCCCCGAAGGCTAATTAGGGACAAACAGGCCTAATATCAGGGAAAAGCTGATGTGTGGCATTAAGCTCCCTCATCACCAGCTGGCTTTAATCACAGTGGCACTCAGCTCAGTGGGGAAGTCAGAGAATAGTGCTGCTGCTGCTTATCTAATGAGGTGTGTCTGCTGATAATAAAACAGAAATAGAGAGATTTAATGGATATGCATGCAGACAAAGTGAGAGTGAAAGGGTGTCACAGTGATGCAAAGTGGACTCGGTGTCTCTGTCAGGTTGTGCGTGGGTAGAGAGGATCTCTCTGCCTCACAGGAACATCTATTCCACAGTTCAGCGCTGTTTCATTTTGAGGTCTTTAGTGGTGGCTGGGATCTCCAGGCTTGTGTGTGTGTGTGTGTCTGTGTGTCTGTGTGTGTGTCTGTGTGTCTGT